GGCTGGAAACCAAACCGCTTTTGGGTTATAGGGCAACAGGACAATCTTTAAGCCCATAATTCTACATACAGACAATTTGATCGAAATGCATCCATACATTTTGGGATCAAACAGAAAACTAATCAACCCCTCTTTGCACACAACGTAAATATACAAGGGCGTGGCCGCATTCTCCACAGGAAAGGGGAGTGTGCCTTCGGGCAATATGAAGCAGAAGCCACCAATAGCCAGGAAGGTAGCATATTCTTCCGCCAATTCTTTTACCTCGGTCGTATCAACAATCGCTTCCTTTAGTTTTTGTACGTAGCTATCAGAATTCTGCATCTTCTCACTTGAGAGTCGCACGTACGCCGCAGCTCCAGAGTGGTTATTTATGTAGATGTTGTACATGATCACTTTCAAATGGCCTTGGCCTGAAATTAAAACGGCCTTATTTGTTCAGTTTTTTTTTTATGTACAGGGCCAGATTTATTGAATGCAAGATATAACGATGGGCTTTTAATGGCATAAGTCACAATTATAAAACAAATATCACTCTCTTAAGGTAATTCCCATGAAATTGTTCTACTATTAAACTTTTTTTGAAAATTGGCATAATTAAAATTCATGATATGAACATTTAAAAAAATGCAATAAAAAACTGGGGTCACCGTGCTTGTTTACGAGTCAGCAGGCTCTTAACATGGGGCATTTTTACTGGTTGCGTGTTAAAAATTCGAATCACCATACAGAATTAAGTCTTGGTTACGTGAAAGACAAAATTTTATCTTGAAAGTAAGCCTTCTTTTATTCGCATAAGAAGTATTGCTTTATTCAAGCCGTTTTTGATTGCCTGGTTGTGAGAATATTGCACTTTTTGGGACTGTTGCGTGGTTGGTTTGAAGTCCTCGCCTAGGCCAAAATATCTTAGAAAATACCTGAAAAAAAAATCGGGGGCTACCGTGTTCATTTAAGAGAAAAGGAGCATTTATTTCGCTATCGAGCTTAGTTTGAGGGAAATCTCTCACGTTTTGTAGGCGCACGCGCTCATGTGCACGCGCTAATGACGCGAAAATTGTGCGCAGTAGGGATGCGCAATGCAATACTCAACAATTAGACCCATAGCCCGCAAGGGCTACGGGTCAATAGCCCATTCGGCTTTGCCTCATGGGCTATTGACCCGTGGCCCTTGAGGGCGAATGGTCTAATTGTTTTAGTATCACCCAATTAGTCGGACAGAAAAGGCATTAATAAAGTTAGCAAATGCAAGCTCAAGAAATATTTATTTGGGAATAAAACGAAAGAAAGCGTCGCGCTCTACTGTGCCAATTTCTCTACTCGAGGACTATTACTAATAGTCCTCTAGTAGCGTAGCCAATTAAAATGCAGGATTTTCATTAGTCCACTAGTTGGGTGATACTAATAAGCACTATATCATCCATTTGGCGCGAAAATATGCTCGGATATATACCTGTCCGCGGACATTGTCTGCTCCTAGAAGCAAACAGTTTTCAGTCCGAGAGCGAAGCTCAAGGAAAACTGTGAGCATCGAGGGACAAAGAATGTCCAAGAACAAATATCCGAGCATATTTTCGCGCCAAATGGAGGCTACTGTGTTTATTATCGTTCAAATATTTTTTCGCAACACGTACCGTTTTGAAAATTGGGGAATATTTAGCTCTTATTAACCGAGTAGGAGGTCTGTATGGGAGAATCTTGACAGAGGTCGTGAGTACAGACCGAATGCAGAGAGGTCTGTACACAAGACCGAGGTCAAGATTTTCCCATACAGGCCAACTAAGCTCGGGTAATAAGATGTTTATTATATGGCGCAAACAAAAATAATTTAATTCGTAATGTAACTGGTTTGTACTAACTGTCATTTTGCTTGCGAATGGCGATGAGTTGAATTTAATTCTGCTAAAGTTTGCTCCTCCTCTTTACTTTTTTGTTTCTCATCAGGCTTCTTGGCACTTCGATATATAAATATTGTTAGATGAAAACAGTCAATGACTTTACATTTTAGTTTGTAACTTTTTTACGGCGAAACATTACCGGTCTAGATGCCGGTCTAGATGGGAAAATCTAGACCGCTTTCAATATCGATTTCGGCCAATCAAATTCGTGAATTTGGTAGTTCCCAGTCCTTGTGAGACAGAGACATATAATAACACTCGGATATTCCCCAGTTTTCGGTCACGCGACGCTTTTGGACCAATAGATGGATTATATCCTTAAAATGTCGGAAAGTGCCAATAACATTTAAAAGGAAAGAATAGTTAACAATTATTGAACTAGGTTGAACAAAATATCCGGCGTGATTTCTCAGTGGCAAGCAGATAAATTATTTGCCAAAGCCGAACTTTGGCAAATAATTGATCAGCAAGACACTGACAAATCACAATACTTTGCGATAACCAAGTTCAATAGTTGTTTTATCATTCGATCACCAAGTTTGTTTTCATATTTAGATCACTCTCTGACAGCTCAGTGAAGCGATCTGCCATTTTTGCACTCGAGAGCGAGAGCGTGGTTACAATTACGCTTGAGCAGAATATTATTTGCAGCATTTAGATGGTACTACGCATGAGCAGACCATTGTTTGTAGACAGTTATTTGCAGGTCACGTGGTAGACTCTCGGCCAATGAGTAGGAAGAAAAAATGCATAGACTGATAATTCCGCTTAACAGATGATGTTTGACTTAATAATGAAGTTAGTTAACCGTAGCTTCTACTAAATAGAATGTTTATTATGCAAATAAAGACCTTGTAATGCAGCTTCAAATTGGTCCTATTTTCGCACTTTTCTCTGTTTGAAAAAAACAAAAAACAAAGAAAGATCGAAGTTTGAGAACAGTTCCTCCCTTAACAAATGAGTCAAATGGCTTCCAGTAAGTAAGGTTACGATGAATGATGATCTTTCAGACAAAGGCAATGATTATAATTATATGGAGGCCACGACTGAATGATTTATAGATCAGGGACTTTCTAAATTAAATCGAAACCACTCTGCGTTATATGACTGAATGAATATATGATGGAATAATGTCAGTAATCTTCTAAAACACTTCAACCATTTTGACTGTAACAAAAATACCATACAATCTATATTTAAGCATTGTAGACACTAGCCATACATCTTCAATGAGCGACTATCGAACGCATAGCAAAATTAAACAAGTGTTCAATTCCTGTCGGCATAACCAACAGATACGTTCCAGTAAAGGAGGTATGAAGAGAACCAAACTTACGTGTGGTGTACTTCACGTGGTAAGGACTGTGTAAGGAGATGACGACTGGTGGATCGGATAAAACTGGCTCCAAAACCTCCGTAAGATAAACACGGACTTGCGTGAGGGAGGCGAACGGTTCCCGTATGAACGGAAGTACTAAGAAAGCCCAAAGCCGGAAGTTCAATTGACACAAAAATGCATGTCATTGAAACATGCAGGAAGATTTGCCCTTGTAAAGTCTGCGACATACCTGTGACGGCCTGGGACACCGTTACGGCATATGTATGTAGCGTTGTATGGCGCGTTTTCAGGGTCAAAATTAAAAACTAACTTTTCCACCTTTCCTTACCTGCTAAGTAAAA